TAATGTGTTGCATATTTAATGTGAAGCACTTTGAGCTACATCTCTTGTGAGAAAAGTTCTCTATGAATATTGATTATTATTTTTATTTTATCTAATTTTTTTTATTATTTCTTTGTTATATTTTTCCCTCTTACCGATTTTATTTGTCTTTGCTTTGTTTAGCCTTTTTAATCTATTTTATGCCATTTTTGGTCTGGCTTTTATATATTTCATTTTTTTTTAAATTTTATAGCTTTAACCAGTATTTTATTGTCATAATTTTTATTCTTGTTTTGTCTTTTTATCTAGTTCTCTAATCTAATGTTTTATTTCACTTTGTTTTACTATTATCACTGTTATTATAGCTTTTAAATTATTTATTTTTATTAGATTTTCATGATTTTATTCTTTTATTTTCTCTCAAATTGTTAAATTGCCTTTATGTTTTTACACTTTTTCTGTCTTATTACCAGCCTATCTGACATCTGTGAAGCACTTTGAACTACATTAACCTGTATGAAAGGTGCCATACAAATAAAGTTTGACTGCCCAGTTTTTTTAATCAGGCTTACCTTTACGTTTTCATTTGGCCTACAGAAAAAAAATCTTTCAAAATCCTCATGTGTAATTATGTGATATCAAGTAGAGAGAACAGGTCAGAGTGTCTATAATCCAGCAGTATGAGAAAGGGCAGGCAGGAGTAAATTTCCTCTAACCTTTAAAATGTTTCTGGCATCAAAAGCCTCTCTTTCACTCAAGGCTTGTCTTCCAGGGACGCCCGTGTCTTCAACTGGAAAAACACCGGAGTGTAAAAGACAGGCTTAACAATGTAGCACAGGACAAAGACATGCATGTTAACTCCTGAACAAATAAACATGTTGACTTGCTGCAACAGTGGGCAATTGTAAGGTGACAGTCAAGGTCACTTTAGTTGTGAAACAGGGACTAAGGAGGAGGAAAAACACTGCAGTTTAATCTTCAGCAGTCTGGCAAACGTGGTCGGCAGTGACACGGCCCCTCCCTTGTGCTGTGTTGTTGGTCAGCTCAGTACAAATTTGAGAACTGGGGCTGGACTTTATCCACGGCCAGAATGAATGAGGCCATTGTCAGAGTACTTGGAAAACACGCCGCTTGGTGCACGTAAACAGAGCGGTGGCCAAACAGAGAACTAGCTGCCAGATGCCTGTCTTCAGGAATTTGTTGTTGTAACTGCTGAAGATTCAGCTTTGTCGTCACTGCAGCTCAGGTGCATGCCAAAAGATAATAAGGGGACACTGTCACATAGGTTCAGGGCAGGAGGTGCAAATGTGGTCACAGGACAGGAGGTACGAATGTGGTCAGAGGACAGGAGGTACTGCGTCAATAACTTTGTTTCTACTCAAGCTATTGGCACATACGCCTTTTGCATGTAATGTTTTTACCTGTGGAGTCCTTTCTGAACAGAGTGTTCATCACAGTGCCGTGCAGCTTCACCCTGTCCCACTCTCTGACCATCAGCCCCGCTGAGACAAAGTGCTCTACCAGCCGGTCGGCAATCACCTGCAGCCTTAAGAGCAGCAAGAGAAAAAAACATAGTAACTTTGTAAATTCATTTAAGTGTGAATTTGTGTCTGATCCACTTACTTGTCTGACTTGTCTTTCACATTGACTTTGGCATACAAGACGTCCACCATGGCTGGGTCATCGTTCATGTACTCTATACCCGTCACCTCCACCTGCAGTGGATTCCCTTCTGTGATGTCCCTAAGGGCAGACAGTAAAAAGCAGATTGCAGTGACTCACCTGGAACATCAGGTTTACAAGTTTCCTCCAGATTTTCCATTTCAAAGTTCCCTACTTCTCCAGACTCAAATTTTCAGTCCTCCATAATTTTTTTAGATCATAATTGGCATCTGAGTACAAATTGCTGGATGTTTATTATGCAAATAAACAGTTTTAAAATCCAACCATTGACACGTACGTTCCATTTTGACAATGTCTTCAATTATGTTGCCAAAAAATTGTGCCCATGAAAGACCAAACCCCTGCTCCAAGAGGAAGTAAAGTAACCAGTGTTACCCATGCCTGTATTATATTCTCTTAACATATTGAATAAATATTATATCATAGTTTCCTCCCATAGTTTTTGGTCTCTTTTATAAATAAGAACCAAAAGGGAATTGCAGTAAACACAGTCCATTTACTTTTCTGATTGCAGCATAAATCATAAATGTTCAGACAAGCTTAAAATCTGGTCATTTGTGGTGCTATGTATCTGTGCAATTTAAACATATTCCTGCTTTTTCCTCCTGTCTGGATTTGTTTCAGTTATTAAGCACTTGAGGCAGAGCTGTTTTGCAGGTGTAGGAGTGTGCGTTCAGTCAGACGCCAGACTTCCTGCCTTCTTTTGACGACATCAAGCTCACTCTGGCCTGTACTCTCAAACAGTGGTGAACATTTTTACTGCTGCCTGCTCCAAACGCCATGAAAAACGTTCAGCTTGTATAAGCATTTTATTATTTTTAGAGATTTGAATTTTACATTTTAGAAAACAGAATAGAGGCAACAGTCTGAAAACACAAATAGTTTTCTGCACTCTTTTATTTTTTTCAATACTGAACCAGACTTGGAAATAACTAAAATCAAAGTCCACACCTTTACATGCTGAGTAGAATCCTGCTGCTTTTAGATTTTACTGTCATATTTTTTGGACCCTGAATGTCGAGCAATACAACGTTCTGTTTGTAAAAACGTTGTTGTACTCCAAGAACTTTTTCTTGTGTATGTGAAACTGAGTTAACTTGTAATCCTGTTATCCAATCGTTATAATTCAGTCTACTCAGATCCAATTCAATCCAACCTTTGGAAGGTACAATGACATAAATTGATTACTTATTACCTCTGCCAGGGAGGTTTGATGACGTTTTTGGTGCTGTTTGTTAGTTTATCAGAAGGATTACAGAAACACTACTGGCCTGTAATATTCTATAGTTTGCTTTTTGTCAACAAATCCCTTAAATAAACCAAGGAAAAAATGTGTTGGTACCTAATTTACTCATCTATGGCACTCAGTCCAGAATCCATTCAAAGTAAACACTGTATTTGTTACTACTGTAACTACTTTCTGCCGTAGATTTGGTGCCCTTTAAGTATTTACAGCAGCAGGACAGTTTATTCCAACCCTCACCTATGGTGATGAGCTTTGGGTAGTGAACGAAAGAATGAGATCGCGGATACAATCAGTGGGAATGAGTTTCCTCCGTGGGGTAGCTGGGCTCAGCCTTAGAGATAGGGTGAGGAGCACAGACATCTGGAGGGAGCTTGGAGTAGAGCCGCTGCTCCTTTGCATCAAAAGGGGTCAACTGAGGTGGTTTGGGCATCTGATTAGGATGCCTCCTGGGTGCCTCCCATTAGAGGTGTTCAGGGCAGAGCCCACTGGTAGAAGGCCCCGGGGCAGACCCAGAACACACTGGAGGGATTACATATCTCATCTGACCTGGGAATGCCTTGGGGTCCCCCAGGAGGAGCTGGAAAGTGTTGCTGGAGAGAGGGACGTCTGGGGTGCTTTGCTTGGCCTGCTGCCCCTGTGACCCAGTCCCGGATAGGCGGATGGAAATAGGTGGATGAAGGACAGTGTACACAGGACTGACTAAAAAAATAAACTACAGTGCCAACATGTCCCCAGGTGCAACAGTGTAGCTCACTGAGGTGTGTTTGGCACAACGGAATAAGTTACATCACGCTCATGCAACACAGACTTGTTAGTAGGATCAAGTCATTGTAAGTTTTCAACAATTAATAAAATATAGAATACCACCAGATTTATTCTCAACAGCAATCCTTTTGGGTTTATTCTATCATGTCTTGTTTTTATCTTCAATAAAACCAGAACAGTTCATTCATTCATTTTCTATAGCCACTTATCGTGTTGGGGGTTGCGGGGGGCTGGAGCCTATCCCAGCTGACATTGGGTGAGAGGCAGGGTACACCCTGGACAGGTCACCAGACTATCACAGGGCTGACACATAGAGACAGACAACCATTCACTCTCACATTCACACCTACGGACAATTTAGGGTCACCAATTAACCTGCACGTCTTTGGACTGTGGGAGGAAGCTGGAGTACCAGGAGAAAATCCATGCTGACACAGGGAGAACATGCAAACCTCCCATCCTGTATTTGAACTGGGAACCCTCTTGCTGTGAGGCACAATGCTAACCACTGCACCACTGTGCTGTTTTTAGTTACACAGTTTAAATCTTAGCGTGATATAATAACCTTATTTGGCCCCTACCTGATTACATTTTGACACTCCTGAAGGTGTTCACATGCTTTTCTCACTTCTGTGTCATTCAACAGAGCCAGGGTGCCGATGGTCAGGTGAAGCTTTGCGGCGTTCTGAAAGATGCTTCCATCTATTCCATTATCCTACACAATTCAGAACAAACTGTGAATTAATTTAGGATGTCATGTGTTGATCTGAACCAATACATGGCCACCACTGTCACCCATCATTACACTTTCATATTCCTTTGACACTACCTGTGAGCACTGCTTCAACACCTCGTCTTTAAAGCTCAGGAATCCTTCTTGAATTTTGGGATCGTTCAGAGGGAATGACAGGAAGTGCGTGAAAGGCTGCTTCTTCCGGAAACTCTCAATGAGGACCTCGACTCGTGTGACTGCAGATGAGACCGCAGATTTGTGGGAACCTGTGATAACTGTCAGACAAAGGAAGAAAGTCAAGAGAAAGTCTTTTGTTTCACAGTGTGCTCTCTGACTTAAATGATGCTCTTATTATATGCCACACCTATCTGTCCTTCCACTCCTTGTTTGGGGATGCTGATAGATGTCTTTGTATCAAACTCCAGGCGTCTGCGTGTCTCTCCTTTTTTCCCAATGATGTATCTGCAGTACAAACACATTATGCTCTTTACAAACAAAACATATTGTGCTTTTCAACTTGGGGGAGATACAGAACAATCACAGCATGTTTATTTTGGAAACATCTCACTTGTAAAGGACACTTGGCACATCAATGGCACAGCGGTATCCCTTATCAGTTTGCTCAATGAAGTTGGCATCACAGGATTCATCTTCTGCCAAGTCTTCACTCTCTGTACATGTCAAGAAACAACAAATATACAGATAAATTATTAGTTTCTTTTATAGGAAATTGTGGCCACAGCTTGACAGCACTGCCTGGGACTTCACATACCTGGTGGTCCCATGTAAGACATATCTTCCTCTTCCTCATAATGTTCTTCCTTAATGACATTCCTCCGGTATATTCTTCCATGTATATTGATAAGAGCTGGACGTAAAACATCCATAGTGTAAACTAGTTAACGTTAGCTAACTTTAAGCTAACCTAGCAAGACTAATAAACCTCTAAATTGCTCGATAACAAGTTGCCTACACGAAATAAATGGTGTAAATTAGCTTTTGTAGCTTTTTCAACACTTTAGCTGGCTAGTTGCTCATTTATATTGAAAAGAGCTGGACGTTAAACATCCAGTGTCAACTAGCTAACGTTAGCTGAACTTAAGCTAACCGAACAATACTAATAACCCTCTAAATTGCTAGCTACACGACGTATAAATTAGCTTTTGTAGCTTTTTAAACACTTTAGCTAGCTAGTTTCTCCTAACGTACATGTCAGTTGACGTTCACATGTTGGTTTCCCTGCTTTACGACACACAGCGGCGGCGTTTCATGTTCAGTAGATCTACAAACGGAAATTAACGGAAACGACCCGTCCCCATTAGTTTCAACTCTACGGCAAGAGTGACGCCGCTTCAAACGTAAACCGCCTTCTTTGTCGTGAATAGTGGCAAGCAGAAACATATAAACAACAAAACCAACTGCGCGGATTTGAGCCCATAATAGTAATACTAGCACATAGACGGTACGTTTTATTGTTTTATTAAGGTTACTTATTGCCATGTTGTGTCTAGCAACGTTAATAGTGAATGGTCGCTGCGCACATCGGTGCCACCAGAGTAGTTAGCTTCTTTGCTAGCCACCTAGCATAGAAGTCGCAGTTAATAACTTGCTATCACTGAAAGACAGGAAAGCTAACATACTAACGTTAGCTTTCTTGGGCTGGTGTGGCTATAGTGATAACTAAAATGCTAGTCTTCCATATGTATGCTTGGTAGATTGTAGCAGCAGTACAACATATTTTCTTGTGTGTGTGTTTTAAAGTTTTCCAAGGCGATGGCAGCGTCTTCTTCGTCCTCCTCTGCGGGAGGAGTGAGCGGCAGCTCGGTGACTGGCTCTGGGTTCAGTGCTTCAGAGCTCATCCCTCCAAGGAAAGTCCTGTACACATATCCTAAAGGAGCAGGTGAAATGATGGAAGGTGAGATGAGAAAACACGCAGCTAAAGGCATCTCTACTTAGCTGTTTTCCCACCAAAGCAGGGGCTGAAGGAATCAGACTGACAACACACTGTATGTTAAAGTGCTGGACCGTCTAAGTTAGTTCAAAGTAGCTTGTGCCTCTCTTGCAATTATTGTACTAACTTAGATTGTAGTAGTGTGCATTTGAATTTAAGTACAGGTCTCTAAATGATTCACACAAGCCCAACTCTGAAAAGATCTGGCAAGTCTTGCAACTACTGTGAAGACATTTCCAAATTCCTCAAAGCCTCTTTTGTCGGCTGGAGCAACAAGATTATAATATATGAAGAAATGAAATTGGTGGGCTGCACAGTAAAGACCTTTAAATCCATTTCCCAAGCTGCTCAAGCCAACAAAGATCTCCTTTTACACTGAATCACCAAAATTAAACATTGACAGCTAGAACTAAAAAGCTGAAACAGTCACAGCTGAAAACTAGTGACAAGTCGTTGTTATTGTGCCACAGCCTTTGAAGAAGCTGGAAATGCCAAAATGGATTACCAAATGGTAATGGACCTGCACTTGCATAGCGCCTTTCTAGTCATCCAGCCACTCTAAGCGCTTTTGCACTACGAGTCATATCCACCCATTCACACACATTCATACACTGGTGGCCGAGGCTACCATACAAGGTGCCAGATATGTAGGCTGGAGGAGACAGGGGTCGAACTGCCGATCTTCTGATTGGTGAACGACCTGCTCCACCTCTGAGCTACGGCTGCCAGCTTTTTAAAATTTTGGCTGTCATTTATCTTTTCATTTGGTTAAGTTTATTGATTTATAAGAGGACATTGTGCAGTGTCATTAATCATTTACAAGAAATGAAAACATGATTGCACCAGATTTAGAGAAATGCTTATTTCCATCTGTAGTCCTACATGTAACAAGTAGATGCAGTAAATGAAAATAAAATTGAAGGTACAGTGCAGACTACAGTAAATTCGTGTGCCTAACATAACAGAAGCAGCACATACACACTGCACAGTACAATTGAAAACAAAGTAGCTACCTTGTAAAGTGACCAGGTTACCAGTGCAGGTGCAGGTAAAAGGCAATCGGGCACCGCCGCTTCAAAATACACCAATTCATGTGGTTAGTTTTTGAGTGCTACAAGGTTAAAAACAGCTTATAAAGGGATGAATTGGATTGCAGAAATGCCGAAGGTCTCAAACTTTTCTCTTTGTTTATTTACAAAACTCTGACGGCTGAAAATTGCATAATTTTTAACCTGAACGAATCTTTCAGGAGTAGCTTCTAAAGCACCATTTTGACTTTCTATTAGCCTTGTGAACACCAAGGCTTCACCACCATTGAAATCTTTTAGTTACATAACAGGGTCATACATTCAACGGCCTTAGAAGCTTGTACTCATGTAACAAACATTGCTTGCATGAAATTATCCTGAAAATACATACACAGATGGAAGACTAAGACTGTTGGTGAAGATTCTCAGTCATCCAGGTCATGGTCATTCCAAGTGTTATAGCGTAGGCAACCGAACTATATTAGCTGCACATGACAGTGCTGCATGTGCATTGGTGAGTTAAATCACGAGCGCACATGCATCTGTTTAAGAGGCAATGGCGAAGTGAAATTTAAAAGGGAGAGAACGAATGAACAAGTAAGTGGTGACTGGATTCATTCTTCAGGACATTCTTTTATGTCACGTTTTCATTGATAAACTAACATGGGCTCTAGTATAAGAAATGTCAGGGGATGAAGTAAGAAAAAAGTCTTTTTATTACAGAAGTTCGACATACAATCTGTATTCTCCCACCTCCCCCTCCTCAGGATTTGCCCCCCAGCTATCACTTACAAGGCAGGGTTTAAGTTCTGATTTCGCACCCGTGCACACTGCAGTCAATACGTCTGGCACTCAAAGTGCTAACACATTTCCAAAGTTTCCACACATGATTATCCTCGCTGTCAGTCAACCACGGGACACTTTCAGCCTGCCCTGACTGTCTGACTGGG